ACCCCCCCCCCCGCGCCCGCCATGTCCCTGATCGCCTTCCGGCGGGGCCGGGAGCAGGCCGGGCGCTGGAAGGACGGGCGGCTGCGGGAGGAGCCGCCCCCGCCGCCCCCCGAGCCCGCCCCGGGCGCCCCCGACCCCGGGACGGAGGCGCGGAGCTTCTACGAGAGCCTGATCGCCGAGGGGGGCGGCGCGGAGCCCGCGGGGAGCCCCCGGGAGCCGCCGGGAGCCGGGGAGGAGCCGCCCAGGTGGGTGCGAGCCCCGCCCGTCCCCGTTAATTAACATTAATTAACGAATTGATATTAATTAGCGAAGCCGTTAACGGGAGTCTCCTCTCCGCAGCCCCCGCCACTTCTGCCGCAGCTGCGGGGCCTCGTTCCGGGACCCCCCCGCTCGGCACCGCCGCTCCACCGCGCACCTGCTGGGGCTGGGGGCTCCGGCCGCGCCCCCCGAGCCGCTCCCCGCCGGCCCCGGTTACCGGCTGCTGCTGCGGGCCGGCTGGGCGGGCGGCGGGCTGGGCCGGGACGGCGGCGGGCGGCGGCTGCCGGTGCCCACCGAGCTGAAGCGGGACCGGGCCGGGCTGGGCTGGGGGCCGCGCCCGCGGGCCCGGGTCACGCACTTCGGCCCGGGGGACGCGGCGGCGGTGGCGGGACCCCCCCGGCGGGGCGGGGCGGAGCGCGGGGAGCGGGGCCGGGCCCGGGGCCGGTTCCGCTCGGAGGCGGCGGAGCGGGCCTGGGAGATCCGGCTGAGGGAGTACATGGAGCGCTGGGAGCCGCCCTGAGCCCCCCGGGACCCCCGAGCGGCGATTCCCGGGGGGATCCCCGGCCGAAATTCCCGCTCCGGGATTCGGGACCCCCCGGATTTGGGGAGGGGTCGCTCCCCCGGTGCCCGGTTCGGGTCCTCCGCGCCGCCGGGGGGCGCCGCCACGGGATGGAGCCACTTCCGCCCTCACTTGCGTCACTTCCGGCTCCTCCTGAGGCGACTTCCGCCCGACCCCGCCGGGAGACCCCGGGACCCCCAAAAACCTTCCCGGGACCCCCAAAACCCCCCCGGGACCCCCCAAAAACCCC